CTAATCGGAAGAAAGATGTTTTCGTTGGACATCGTGTCGCACGTCCCGAATGTTCCTTTAGAAGAGACAGTAGACTATCTATGTGACACCATTCGATCACATCCGTTGAACGTCAGTCTTTCGCACAACCGGTTGAAACAGCTACTCATGCTGTGTGCTAGCAACATCCAATTTCAGTTTGATGGGGTAATATACAGACGACAGGACGGAGTAGCGATGGGCTCACCACTAGGACCGCTGCTGGCAGATGTATTCATGAGCAAATTAGAAAATAACTGCTTGAGCGGAGTCATTAGCATATTACCCTATTATGGCCGATATGTAAATGATGATATATTTTGTGTGAAAGACAGTCAGTGCTGCACAGAGCCAAGTTTATTCCTTCTTAACTCAGCGCAGGACAACGCTAAATTTACATTGGAATCTGAACGTTTTGGTACGATGTCTTTCATAGACGTCCAAATTAGCAGAAAATCAAAGGAGTCGATCCAACGCAGGGTGCATAGAAAAGCCACGTGGAATGGACAGTACCTACAAATTGCTAGCTTTGTCCCACTAAGCTAGAAGCGGAAGTTGATTAGATGTTTAACAGAAAGGGCAAGAAAGATGCGTAGTGAGGACACGCCCTTGGACGAGCTGAAATTCTTAGCTGGCCTTTTTGAGAGAAACGGCTATCCCGAAAAGTTTGTTCGGAGAAATATGGAGTGCCGAGAATGGAGGGCATAAACTGATTCGGTTGAAAAGAAATTGGTTTATCTGTCGTTGCCGTTCAAAGGAGATGGATTAGCGCAGGCAACGTCTAGAAGCCTATCCGACGCCATAAACCGTACCTACTACGCGGCAAGTTCTCGGTTAAGATTTACGGCAACGCCAATCATAAGGTTTCAACTGAAAGACAGACTTCCTCGGTCAAGTACTGCTTTCGGTGTATACACATCTAGTAGTTCATGTCGGGCAAGTTATATCGGAAATACCAACAGGAGGCTGTCGGAGAGAATCCGTGAGCATTGCCCGACTTGGCTGTGTGCATTCGGAACGAAAACAGTGACGATCGCCGTGTCGGCATATCTGGTTGATGTTAACCGCCAGATCGATACGTAACGATGTTTTCAGCCAATTTACCGCATATCTGGATGCTGCACACGAGCGGTAAGATGTCACTTATTGTCAACAACTGAAGCGATCGCCATCCGTCTTCTGAACCCAGACCTATGTGCAGAAAAATAATTCGTTCAGATTCTCTTTCTTACCTGGCCCAGTATTACAGTAACCCCTGTTGAGAAGCGTACAAATGACATGTCATTGACCGTTTGTGTACCAAGCACTTGATCTCGTCATTTAGATGACCTAGACCTTTAAATTTACTCGTTGAACTTTACGCCCGTCTGATATTTTAACTCATTGTAGTCCTATCAGTTGTGGTGTATCAGCCTGACGAGATCCACCCAAAAGGAGCTAATTTGCTGATCCTTGTTCTGACGCACTTTTTGTGGACTTATTATGAGCTCAGTTCGCTGAGAGACCGGCGCAAGGATTGCCGGTTCTCTGCACGGCTGCCTTATTTGGTATAAGTACAACCGATTCTGATTCACCTGTATCCGATGTCTGCACTAATTGAAGGAATTGTCTTTACCGCACTTCTGGTGGTCCAATTTTCCTGTTGGCATGCCACGCTTGGATCGCCTGTGTTACTAATTCGGGCGCCGCCAACTTAGCTCGCAAAATTTGTGGCCTGCTGCCTGTGTAGTTTGTGGGGACATCTAGACGAGTGATGTCAATGGTCACGACATTTTGCATATCGTAGTGCTCTGTAATGCACCATTCTTCGATGTCTTGCTTTTGCTGTCCACTTTTGTTGTCATGCTTCAATTCTGACACACCGTAAACCAGTATCACTTTGTTCATTTCATTTTGACGTGACGCACTAGGCTTGGCTTTCTGCTTCTGCCATTGTCACCGCCTTTTGGTTGCGTAGTACTTCTCCCTGCTGCCGTTGCTTGTGAGCTTGGGTTTGTCAAGTGAGTAACTTGCTTGTCTTTTGTGGAAGACAGGCCAAGTATACTGCAAAATTTTACGTGCGATGCCGTTAGTTACACTAGCTGTAGGAGTCGAACTTTGTTATCCAGCTACTGACGGAGGTGATCACGCAGTTTGTGAGTAACTCTGCATGCTTTGGAGCATTACGTGAGACTTGGAAGACCATTCAACGAATCTGTTTTCACTGCTGTTTATCAGTAACGGATTTGCGTTTCGCTGGACTGTGTAGCATTGCTTCTAGAGAGCTTTTGTCTTTTAACAGATCTGGGATTTAGGCTATGTAATACATTAACGCGCAACACGAGTTCTGCGATTTACCCTCTCAATACCGTGATCAGTTAGTTTCTCTCTAAGTATCTGAAGAATATCATCTACTTTTCGTGGGACTCATTTCCTTTTTTATCAACGGTTCAATAAGTGTAAGTTCTGGAGTCGGGCTATTAGCTAGGTTATTATTTGCATTTGGCGTAGATCGTTCAATGTGCAACTACCTGGCATGCGTGACAACTTTTAGTGTACCTTCGCTCAAGATCTTTCCAAAAATGCTTAGCGCGTACGTGAGGCCGCACGCGGAATACGCTATCCAAGCTTGGCAACCCTGGCTCAAGCACCATCTCACCGCGCTCGATACTGCACAGCGTAGGGCAACGAAGAGCGTCAGAGGTTTGACAAGCCTCCCCTACCCACCCAGGCTGAAGACCCTTAAAATCTACTGTGGACGTTATCGGCGTCTAAGGGGCGATCTCATAATGGTGTATCAGATCCTGAGAAACCTCAACCACCCATGCCATTCCCTCCTAACACTCAGTCACAACACCTCGCTAAGAGGTCACCAGTTTAAGTTATTCACGCAGTACAGCCGCCTGGAAGGTCGGCGAAACTATTTTTCCCTTCGAGTGGCACAGCCTTGGAACGCCCTCCCCGAACATGTAATTAATGCGCCCACCCTATCCCTCTTCAAAAAACGCCTTGACGATACCCTGTCACATTTACACTACGTGCTATAGCTCATGACCACCAGATGCTGGCGCTAATGCACAACAGACAGTGGATAGTGCCATAACCCTACTCGAGAATGAGTCACCCCAAACGCCTTGCACGAAATTTGATAAATGCTACTACTATAGAAACTGGATTTCTGTATCCTGTCGACCGAAGATAATCGCACACAAGTAAGCGTTGTCCTTGCTATCGTTTTTTGTTAATTTTTCTCGCCTATGATGTGAACAATAAACATTCCCCTGTTGCCTTGTGTGCGTACATTCTCGTTTCAAACTCTCTTTATACGAAAATGCAGTTACATCTGTAAGCGCCCGAACTGAAAACTCCATTATCCCTTCGCTATCTTTTTTATCACGCTATCCACCCTACGGGACTTGTCAAGCACCTGCTTTTTTACCCGTCATAAATCATTGTTCATTAGTTGCACAGGGAATCTCGTACGCTGCGTAACTCGAATCTGATACATTAGTGTCGTCGAGATTAATAGTATGTTAACTTCAGTACAAGCATCGGTTTTTAAAGGCGACTGTTCAGAGATCATGCTAACGCGATTCGCTGAATGAGTTCTATTTTGCTGGACGTCTCTGTCCAATGGAGTCTGATCTGTTTTAAGCAATGCAGATTTGAATTCAGCATTAGCTACAATTAGATTCCAGTTGTTACTGAACGACCGGGCAACCTCAGTGGTGTTGAAACTTAGCAATATCAGGCAAGTGTTTTTGTGTGCATTTTTCTGTAGTCTTACAACAGTACAGTCTGCACCACCTAAGGAAACAGCCGATCGATGTAAATGGTTTGATTTATCTGTCGGGTAACTGTCCGGAATATTAAAATTGACAATGTTCTTAGAAGGTGTAAGACTTTCGTGAACTTCAGTGGTAATAGTAGCTATGAAGTTACTGGCTCTATCCAAGTGTTCAGTGCATTGGGTTTGAGGCGAGTCCAGAATGTACCTCAGTGGCGTTAGCTGTCTTATGATTGATTCCGTAACATTCATTTGAGTATTGAATTCTCCTAACTCTGTTTCCATGGATGCTATTTTATAGATATCACTATTGCTGGGTGCGTGCCATGTCTGCTGTGTTTTCACGACAACGAGTAAGGTTTGTGCCCTTTGTCTCGCAGCTGATCTGCTAGTAGGAACTGAGACTTTTGCAGTCATTGTGGCTTGCACAAATTCCAACATGGAGAGTTCAGGATTTAGGTTTTATGTACGTTTCCACTTACATGTCATCTTAATACCCAACCTTTCCTATGAGACTTGTATAAAGCGATCGGACCAACCGAAACTACAGCACCGAAGTGTGGGGTACATGGAAACACAGTAGTGTGCACAGATGAATGGGGTTCCTGTGCGATCACTCATTTTAATATTCCTACAATGTGAGGTCCCTGATGATACGACAGTACAGTACATTACAGTACAGTACATTCAACAACCATGAGTTGGCTCACGCTAGTGCTTAGTGTATGAACACATACAATACGACATGCAGCGTCACAAGTAAAATTTATGTCACCTCTTCTGGTCCATACGCCATATCGCGCTAATTCGGGTACAGTCGGACGACTGGATAATGAGACGTCCCAGACTGCATCCTTCCCGCGAGTCTTAGTTCGATAGCCTCTGTATTAAGTGACAGTATTCCTTTTGCAGCCCTCATCAATCACTACAGAGTCCTTAACCACACAGCTGACAAAACTATTAGTGTGTCACACATCAGATGGGTTATGTTTTATTTTTAATTGCATACTACTTATACAGCTTATCATGGAGCAGAGGTTCTCGCGAAACAAGAAATCCACTAGACCAAACAGCCAGCTGCTGTAGTCTACTCACGACCACTATCGCTCCCCAGTAAATCAAAAATCAGCTGTGTAAAGTTCCTGATTCCACCTGCTTCTTTATGAGTGAACAATTACAATGCATACAGAAACTGAACCGTCAGATCAAAACTTACCCCACACATGCACATAATTTGCGCATCATGGCCCAATGTGGCTTCATATATTTTAGATTGTATGAAAAATGCTCTTCGCACTTACATCGATGGCCCTTTGTGTGCTATTGGATTCACTTCCACTTTGAACGGGTTACCCTGTTCATTAGTTCATGATGTTGGCGGATCAATCAGAAAATTGGTTGGCTGGTTAAGGCGAAACACACGTTCTGTTTTTTGATCGATGAGACCCCCTTTCAGGCCTCGATCAGATGTGCAAAGCATGTACAACGCTTGCTGATTGGACCAATCGGCTGTGTGTGTGTGTGTGGCACGTAACTGACTCGGCTGACTCGGAACCGTGAGGTGAGAGTACACTTGCGGTTCTCTTCGTTCATCCGCAGCTTCAACAAATATTGTTTAATGTTTACGGGCTGTCTTAATGGGAAAAAGACTTGTATTAGGTGCTCCGCATGGAACATGTGATGCTGCTTGATGTTTTGGTGCCTTTGATGACTGTGGTTTTCTAGTATTTTTGACCGTTCTGCTTGCTTAACTTTCATACGTTTCACGGTAATTTTACTAAGGCTGTATGCTTATTACACCCTGTTAGAGAAACAGACTATTTGAGTAGAGTATTGGATTTGGTTGATTTTCTAAAGGGAATTCCTGTAAATATATCCGCTTCTTGCAATATCGAGAGATATGAACCGCGGTCGGCGTGATCACATAGTACAGGATCAACGTGCGCATGCATGTGGGGAAAAAAAGAAACATGCGTTCTGTTTAACTTTATAGCGGAAACGATTGAGTTTAGACTGATGAAGCAAACCCTTATTCCCCTTTCCCTCAATCTTCCCCACCTGTTCAGGATCATTCAGTTGAACTATTCCAATAGGTATAGGTTCGCTGTTATTACACTAGGCTCATGTGAAGGGAAAGGAAAAAGCGTTAATTCACAAAAAAGTAACGGGAAAATATCAATGTGAAATAACGGCAGATTGAAAGAATGGACAGATTTGTGGTTTGGGTAGTAAAGAGCAAAAGCGGATCCCATTACTACCCCCGGGTTGTTACATCAACTTCTGTGTGCTTTAGCTCGATCATTTGAAACAGCCCATAAACTGATACTAATAGCACATTGGATTCATATTACGTAAGTGAAATATGTTACGTTAGGTGTAGCTTGGTGTCGGACACGTCGCATTCCTTCGGTTTTCTTCTCCCGCCTCAGAAGCACCATCAGTATAACTAGGTGGACTGCTGCACTAGTTAACGAAAGGGATTTTCCCTCGTTCCGAGGATATCTCTATAAGCTTATGTTAGTTAGGCGGTGCTGCTTTTAAAAATGGAAGCAGTCTTTACAAATTGGCTCTAGTTTTTGAGTTATAAGAAATACCACAGGATGTGCCATATGTTTTGTGTTTATGCATAATGTTAATGTTAAGTATTGCATAACACGAGTGACCAAAAATGTTTGCTGTAGTGACCGTTGGAGCGCCTTGAGTGACCGGTTTTGTCCCCACGCCGTCTCAGTGGGAAATATTTTGAACGAATTTTGATCACGCAACAACTGTCTTTCAGAGCGACTTTAACTTATGCCGTGAATTCATTTTTCCTGATTACAAATACCGTCCACATTCGACTGAACTTGATCCTCAAGTCATAATTTCGTAGTACTGAAGCCGTAGGGCTAAAACGAAATCTGTTTGAGTGACCGAAATTCGTTCAAAATGTGTCTCATTGGGACGGCCGTATACACGAAGACGGTCACTCAGCGACAGCCCATCGGTCACCCATGCTGGTTAAAGGTCTGCCTTTGTGAAAAGGCAAAGACCTACAGGTAAGGAAAGATGTTCTTAATGATGCATTATAATATTTTATGTAATATCTACACAGGCATGCCATTTATTTCGTTATTTTGTTTTTCCCTCTGTGAGTGACCAAAAACGTTCAAATGGGACGGTTTTTCGTCTATCTATGCGGACTGGGTATTTAAAGTTATTCTTGTTCGTTTCACAGGTATATGAGTCCCTCTAGACGAAGCTGTTTGAACAATCCCGATTTAGTCTGCTACAGTTTTGACAAATGTGCTGTGGAAAAACAGGGGAACAGTATCACTCCCTTTCTGAGTCAGGCATCCTGCGCCTACTCTGCCGTAAAACTTGGAGATAAAGCAAAGTTTTGAGCGCCTCATCTGGTTTGTAAAACCTGTATTAAGCGTCTCCAAACTGGGCAAATTATGCAAAGAAGGGTTTGAATTTGGTGTGCCTATGGTGTCTAGGGAACAGAGAAGCCATCACGATAAGTATTATTTCTGCGCTGTCAGTGGGAAAGACGTCATTGGATATAAGTAGAGAAAATGGCAGTATCATTAAGTAGAATCGGCTAGGCCACCTATACCTCACTTTCAACTTGTGACAATTGCTCGCTCAAATAAACTTAGAGAAGAGTAGGAAAATGTCAAAACGGTTTAGATGAAGGTATGCAAAGACCACCGCTAGATTATTTGCATTGATTTATATATGGTGAACTTCTTGCGTTGACAGCAGAGTGGATATACACGAAACAATTTTGTGTCATGTGCTTACGGAACAATGGGACTAAACCACATCATTGGAAGTGACATGGCCTACCAGGAAAAGCATAAATAGAAGCTTGGAATAATAACTCCGATTCACAAAGGTGGAAGCAGAACCGAAGCTTCAAACTATCACCCAGTTTCCCTTCTCCCTATACTGTCTAAGGTGATGGAATCCATCATAGCCGATGCGTTGGTGGGCTATTTGGAAATCTCTGACATTATTACTTCTGAGCAGCACGGCTTCCGTCGAAATCGATCATGTATAACGAATTTGCTAATAGCACGGAGTAGCTGGACCCAGTCAACTGACGCTGGATAGGATATTAATGTGATGTACCTGGATTTCTCGAAAGCATTCGACCGTCTAGATCATCGGATACTCCCTTCCAACCTACTGCGTTACGGGATCGGTGACGCTCTTCTAAGCTGGATCGCCAACCATCTCCTTCAGCGGTCATTGGTCGTCAGAGTGAGGAGCTCCTTCTCTGACCCCATACAAGTTAAATGTGGTGCGCTTCAAGGCTCGGTGCTAGGTCTCCGATTGCTTTTAGTATTTATCAATGGCCTCCTACAGCCAATTACATATAACTTCCTGCTGTTTGCCAATGACGTCAATATTTGACACAAGATTGAAAGGAATACTGACCAGAAACTGCTTCAGAGGGATGTAAGCACGGTACATTAGTGGTGCATCCAAAATTTACTGCGATTCATTGTGGGTGAATGCAAGGTCCTCTCTATAAAACACCGGAGCAACAAATGTTACAGGCTCGGAACACATGTGCTGCAGCGAGCTGCCACGGAACATGAGTTGGGCGTACTGGATCAGGCTGATCTGGGTTGTTCCAGTCAATCCGCCGAAGTCTCGAAAACTGGCAACCAACATGTGGGCCTGTTACGACTGGCATTCGGACAAATAAATCGCTCTATTTTCCAGAAGATGCTTAGTGCGTATGTTCGTTTTCATGTCGAATATGCAATTCAAACCTGGCACGCATGACTAAACCACGACCTAAGTGCATTGGATCTGCCCCGACCTCGAACATCAAAATACGTTTTGGAATGCACCATCTTACATATGAGGAGAGGCTGAAACGATTGGGGGTATTCCGCGGACACTAGTGCCGTTTATGAGGTGACTTGATAATGGTGTGCTTAATGCTGCACGATCCACATCATGTGTGCTGCTCTTCAGTGCAACTCAGCAGTAATGCTAACTCGAGAGATCGCTTACTAAAACTGGCAGAAGAGTAAACAGCCTGGATTGTCGCAGAAATTTTTTTCCGTCCTCGTGTCACCCGTAGAATGTTCTTCCAGAATCCGTCATTAGTGCACCATCACCATCCATATTTAAAAGACGACTGTATGACATACTTACTCACATACATTTTGTTATCTAGTACTACAGCTCCATCCCACTCCTGGAACATACCCTGGATTCATTTGCTGTGACATGTTTGTGCTGGGAAACTACACGGATCGAAGGACTCAGTGAAACAAACGACAAGCCACACTTTTAAACATAAACAACCCGTTACTTTTTTATTTTTCGATAACCCTGCAAAGTTACTCAACTGCAAGCAAAGCATTGTTTCTTAACCCGTATACAATCATTATTCATTGTTGATTATCAATAAACGAACTCTCTACACGTTTCATTTTTGTGTATTTGGGTATGGAGCCGAAATCAATCCCAATCCTAATCTGACAGAAGCCTACTACATGCTCCCGTTGTTCCTGCACTTACTTTGGATGACCCTAGTAGCTTAGGATCAAATCAACCGCGATGTAGACTTTCTAACGCAACCCCTTTCCCCCAGTTATACTGGCGTCCATAAATGTCGCATCACTTCTACCCATACGATTACTAGTAATTAAATTACTCCTGCCGCTTCCACACATATCAGCCACGCCAATAATGTCTGATTACAACAATGGCGCGAAGAATGCAGACCACACCCCTCATAGTACGTTTTCAGTACTTTTGATTAACGCCACATCCATTAACTGCAAACTGTATTTCCTAATCATGTTTGCCCATTTCAACGAGCTGCAAGCAATCCTCGTTAACCAAGCTTGGGGCTCATCTGATACATTGGACTCTACTCTAATGATCCCTAATTAGCACCTTTTTCGTAAAGATCGCTGTAAAAAGAAGTGGCGGAGGATGCATGATATACCTACATCACAGATTTACAGCTGGACTGCTTGAATATCCACAACCAGTACATGTCCCGGAATCCCTCTGGTTATCCATCACAGAAGCCTCATCTTACCTTTTTCTTGAATGTATCAACAGCCAGTCTATTTCATCAACCACAATTATTGCCCGTATCGCTTCAGATTTCGAATTTGCATCTGAGATGTCACTCAAAAAATAAGTGTAGGTGACTTCAGCCTATCGAATATACACTAGTCTTCCCAGCCATCCTCGTCTCTATACACATAGCTTTTATTTCTTCTTTCAGAGTAGCTGGTTGGACA